AATGTTACTGTCCTTTTGTTGATTCTTTTTACTTTTTCACCTTCTTTTAGTTTCTTGCCTTGCCTATTTGATTTGCTCTGTTTGGCCTTATGGTGCTGTTGCTTTCATTGTCTTTTTCTAGGATGTTGTTTAGAATTGCTTGCAGTGCTGGTTTGGTATTCATGTAGTTTCTCTGGTGTTCTTTGTCATGGGAGTATCTTATTTCCCCACCCATTTTGAAAGAGAGTTTTGCAGGATAAATCAGTCTAGGTTTGAGGTCGTTTTCTTTTAGGACTTGAAATGCCACACTCCAGGCTCTCCATGCCCTAAGAGTTTGTGTTGAAAAGTCTACTGTGATTCTGATGGGCTTTCCTTTGCATGTGACTTGTTTCTTTTCTCTTATTGCTTGTAGTATTTTGTTCTTCTGTTGGGTTTCTAGGATCTTGATTATTATATGTCTATGTGTAGATTTTTTTTTTTTGATTGTGACTAGTTGGGGTCCTATATGCCTCAGTTATCTGAATGTCAAATTCTTCCCCTCTGGGAAGTTTTCTATCATTAATTCTGTGAACAGCTTTTTGAAGTCATTTGTATTTTCTCCTGCTACTTCATGGATTCCTATCAGTCTTGTGTTATTCTTCTTTGCATCATCTAGGAGTTGTTGGATCTATCTCCCATGATCCTTTACTGTTTTTAAAAGCCCTCTCTTTTCATGTTCACTGACTGCAATCTTATCTTCTATATCTGAGAGTCTATCTTCGCATTCTTTTATTTTGTTGCATACACTTTCAATGGAGTGTTTAATCTCCTGGATATCTGTTTGAATCTGTTTTATGGATTCCATTTCTCTCCCAGGTTGGGCATTTATTGTTTCCATTTCTTTCTTATGCTGGGCCTTCATGGCTTCTATCATGGTTCTGAGCTCATCTCTTTTTTTGTCAGTTTCTTCTCTAGTGTCTCGAATCACAACTTTCATTTTGGTCATCATCTCTATGGTTATCTGGGACATTATTTCTGTTTTGAATTTTTCTAGAGCCTGATTGATCTCTTTTGTTACTTCCTGTGCTTTGAGTTCAGGGTGTCTTGGTGGTTCACTATCAGCTTTTTCATCCTCATTTGCCCTACTGTTTGCCATTGGTGAACTGGAAGTCTGTCTTGCTTAAGTGTTTTCTCATTTTTATTTTTGTAGTCAGGCTGTCCTTGGTTTAATCTCTGGGTTATCACCCAAATCTTCCTGATATAGTTATGCCCTAGCTTCTAGGTCTCTAACGACCCACAGACATTCTCATCTTTATAACATCAGAGAAAACATCTCATCAAATCAACCACAATCCTTTATCCCAACTGATACAATCAGCAACACATTATGATCATCACAACTTGGAAACTGACCATCTGTGGTAGTCACTAGTCTATCACCCTCAAACCATTTGAATTAAACTGAAATCAAGAAGCCATCCAGAACATGTCTTCAGTAAACAAACTTTTCATTATAGTGTATTTACCATTTAATGGCTTATACAGAACTAGGACACTAGACCCCAGCTCTCAGTTAGCTGATGGCTGAACCCATGAGGCAGACAGACCTCGGGCTGCAAGGCCCAGATTGAGTTCCCCAACCTTCTGAAATGTTGAAGTCCACACCATTCTACTACAGGTTTCCCACTCCCTTTCTTTAAAGATGTTCAAAGTTGGGAACTCAGAAAAATACTCTTTATGACAACCTCCACCTCTGCAGAGTGGGTCCAAAGACTGACACAAGCAGGAGGTCTGAGAGTGTGGAGGAGGGTGGAGGGTGGGGTGGGGGGTTAAGAGGAGTTATGGGGGTTCAGGGGCACCCACGGTGCTACCTTCCTGGCCCTGGAGCAATGGCAGCTTGGGGCGTGAGAAGGAGTGGCTCTCCTTCCCTTGGTGGATTAGGGCCCAGGATACCTTCCTGGAGGTGGAGTGATGGCGGTTCTGGGTGGGAGAGGGCATGGCTCCCTGATATTTCTTTTTTTGAGACAGGGTCTCACTATGTAGTTGAGACTGACCTGGAATTCACTATGTTGCCCAGGCTGGTCTCGAACTCACAGCAATCCTCTTGCCTCAGCCTCATGAGTTCTGGGATTATAGGCATGCACCACCACACCTGGCCACTTCCCTGATTTTTACTGAGGCATGAATTACTGGATTTTTGGTGAAATAAATGGCCCAAATATAAAAGGAAAAGGAAAGAGAAAATATGAAAGGACAGTGCAGCCACACCTGAAAAATGCAGTCTCCTCACTTGAATCTATTTATATATAGTCATAAGGTAAAAATGAGCCCTTATATGGAATATGATAGATTTAGTATCAACAGAAAGGAATCTAACTTCTCCATAAAATACAGTAGTAATGAGAACTTCAGCCTGGAAATGGAAACAATAAATAGAGGAGAAATCAAGAAAGATTGAGGTTTCAGGAGGCTATGTGGGAAACAGAACTTCATACACTAAATTGAAATTCTCCTGAGATATAAGATGTGTTGTGCAGAGAATGAGTTTGGAGAAAAGGTTCTAATTTATCATGATCAGCAATTAGTTTAAAGTGTGGATTTATTTAAATGAAAAATACTTTTGTTATTTTCTTCTGTTTCTGAAAATGCTTTTGTTATGGGATAAATAGGATTTGACATGTGAATATGTTATCCTCCAAATTCCTCCATCCTCAGAAGTTTTTGAATATGGGCAGTTACCAAATAATACTTGCCTGTATTGCATAACATTATGCCATTTCATTGTATCTAGCAATCTAGTAATTAAAAACAACAATAACAAAATCAAATAAACAAAGATTAAAGGAAATTGAACTTTTGGGAACCATTCTGTGGTTATAAATACCTTCATAGTTTGATTATGTAAATCTCCTTGATTTTCTTTTTGAAGGGCGTGTTCTTAGTGATGTTAAACAGCACATAAAAGGTAATATTATATTAATTCCTTCTTACAAAAGATGTGTTCATGCCTTTCTACAGGGAAGTGGTTAGTAGAGATTTTTTCCTAGCAATAGATTATTCCATATATGACAATTACTGTATTTCCCATCATCTCTCTAAGGTGTAGGTGTAGATATGTGTATATTGAATAACTTCAGAACAAAGTTAACTAGCTTTCTTTAAGTGTTGAGACAGGGAAAACAACCCCAATACATTTGAAAAGAAGTTATTTAGGGAATGAGTCTTATGTATAAGGCATCAGGGAATATGAAAAATGATATTATGTCCACTCATCTTCCCCCACTTCCTACCCACCAACAACCTCCAGAACAGACATCATACTCTGTTTTCAAAAAAAAAAAATTAAATCTTGACACCTCCCTGATCTCTTCTACATCAACTGCTTGTCCTTCTTGGCATTCTTGTTTTATAGCCAGAAAACATGAATCTCACCTTTCCTAGAACTGGCCTTTTCTATTTGATTCATTTGTTACATGGATTTTTCACACTAACTATTGTCCCTTAATCTTCTGTCCATATACTATGAATTCAGGAAATGTTTTCTTCTTTTGTATCACCACTACTTTTTATAGTCATTTTTTTTTGCTGTCTTTATTGTCCTATTTTAATTTTTTGTCCATGGAAGTACTGTATATCACCACGTGTCCATTTTCCATCTCCTATGTAACTCATTAATATTCACTAAGCAACCTTCTGCCTTTCTTCCCTAACATGTTTTTCTTTATTATCTGGACTGCTTCCATGACTTTGAGTGACTTCAAATCTTTCTTGTCATTGGTAGCAAATGACACTTCATTATCTTTTTTAATACATTTCTTTCCTCTTTTTTTTTTAATGGTAGAAATCAAGACATAAGTCCATTTCTTATGCACAACAGGCCAAGCAATGAAGACATAATACAGAGTGGTGAAAATTAAACTTTCTTTTTAAGGGGTACCACCATGATTTTGTGGTTTCAATAGGAATTAGTATCACATTTCACACTTGCAACTGTAAAAATCATGTTTAAGACAGTATGGAGTTTAGATTTTGGTGGAAGCCTAGATGTAGGGAATGTTGCCATAAAAAAATGAAAATAGGAATGATAGAAGTATATTTTCTTTTATTTACAAAAATGAAGGCCCAAAATATGCTTTGAAGTAGCTACTGAAAAGATGTTGAATTACTTTTCCTTTGCTTTGGTTAAAACAGCCTAGGAACAGCAGTCAGGTCCCCTCCTGTTAAGAGCACACAGTGACAGGACTATTTTTAGTACAGAATAAATGACTTTCAAGAAATTAAATTAGTTTTAAACTAAACACTTTACCAATAAATACATTTTTTCAAAACGTTACATCTTCATTCTATAATCTTGGGCATAACGTACCTGCCAATTTAAAAAGTAAAATTCCTCCCACAATAGTAACTACAGGTATTAATGCCACAAGCTATGAAAGTTTAATGGATTTAAAAAAAAAGAAAAGTCCTAGCAATAGAACAAGAACTTTAAATTAGCATTTTCTACAGCTGTACATATTCCAAAGTAACTACTACTTTCTTACAGAATTCAAACAACTGTTGGCATTTCAATATAGTCCTAAAGAAATGGTTAAAAAAATATTTAGTACACCAAATCTGAAACAGAATTTGTATTTCTGATTTACAGCATGAAAGGCAATCAACTTCTACTTAAAATCATAATCAGTGATGAAATATACTTCAAAACATTTGGACCGACAATCTTTAATCTTGGTTCAAAATGTTCTGATGCTTGTTGCATTGAATCCAATGTGCAAAAAAAAAAAATGTGCAGCTATCTTTTTCTTGAAATATGTAAGACCAACACCACTATTTACACACTAAAAAGATTTAAAATGTATTAATTTAAGTAAGCATATGGCATCTCTATTATGGATAAATCAGGTGCTTCAGGGAGCCCAAAAGCTTGATGACACTCTGTGAAGTTACATTAATGTAACTGAAGAAGCAGATCTGTTTCTTGTTCTAATTTTCATCCTAAATACAAATCTCGCTTTAAAACTCAGTTAAGAATTATTTTGGTCTCAGAAATCCTGGAACTGCTGCACATGTGGGAATCCTGTCGCTGAGGCCTTGTCTGCTCTTTCCCCCTGGTCCATGTGGCAGAGCTCTGCCAGTGCAAGTCGCAGGGCCCAAATGAGAGGGCCTCGGACCTCAGCCAAGACCACCGATGTCCTGGCGGGCTGGTACAGCCTCCTGAACTTGCACCTACAGCTTTCGGGGAGCAATCAAAACAGGTGAAGAAACCCTTCAGCAAAGCAACTATTATTTGTCCACATAAACAGTGAAAAACAGTGATATAAAAAATTAACAAACCAAATACAAATCTAACACCATTGTGTATTTCCAGAACCCGGTTTCACACCCGCGCAGTGTTCTTGGTCAACCACTCACTGCCATGTTCTGCGTCTGTAAGGAGTACATTTATTAAATTATTAAAACTGCTGTTTTGACCATAAGTCCCATGTAATTACAATGATCAGGGAATCAGGTGATATAATTATTACTCTGTGCAGGGCACTCATCGGCGCAGTGAGTGTAGAGGAATTAAAAATGGAAGTCCCTTGCTTCTAAACTGGACACAGGAATTCTCAAATTAAAAAATCAAATACAATTATTACTCTGTGCAGGGCACTCATCGGCGCAGTGAGTGTAGAGGAATTAAAAATGGAAGTCCCTTGCTTCTAAACTGGACACAGGAATTCTCAAATTAAAATCATAAAAAACGGGGAGGGGAGCTTCCTGGCAACACGAATAGACAGCGGACAGGACAGCACCACCGTTTGGTCACAATTTAGGAAGCTTCCTTGACAAGCTGCAGACACCCAACCAACACTGCCTCCAAACCAGCTGTGCGATGCTGCACACGTTTCCTTAAAAGCACAGCCTGCAGCAGCCCGGCCTTTGGCTGGGCCTCTGCCTCTGGGGCCCCTACCTGCAGGCAATGGTTTCCAGCTGCTGCTCGGCCTCTGCGGCCATGGCAGCCTCCTGCAGCTGCTCCGTCTCGCTCTTCATGGCGCTGGGGGTGACTTGCTTCCTCTCGCTGTGCATATTGTTCTCGTGCCGCTTCAGATCCGAGGCCTTGGCGAAGGCCTTGGTGCAGGAGCCGCACACGAAGGGCTTCTCCCTTCGGTGCCGCCTCTCGTGGTCCTTGAGGTGGGACTTGTGCTTGAAGGCTTTGTCATACATGTGGCATGCGAAGGCCCGCTCGTTCCTGTGCACCCGGCTCGTGCTTCTTCAAGTCTGGGGCGCGGATGAAGGATTTGCCGCACACCTCGCAGCTGTAGGGCTTGTAGCCCGTGTGGATTTTCAGGTGCTCCTTCAGGTGGGCCTGCGTGGTGAAGCCCTTCGTGCACATCTCGCACACAAACGGCCTGTCCGCCATGTGCAGCTTCCCGTGCTTCCGCAGGCGGCCCTCGTCGGAGAAGGTCTTCCCGCAGGCCTGGCAGGCGATCTGCTTCTGATGGTGGCCGTACAGCAGGTACTCGAACTTCATGTCACTGGCGGCTGTGGTCCAGCCCGGGGTCTGTTCGTCTTTCACCTCGCTCATGCCTTCATTGAACATTAAGGCTTGGGGGTCTGCGACCCCAAATCTTTGGGCTCTGGGGTCTTCATGGACTCCAATTCCTGGCCGTAGCAATTGACTTTCCGAACCTCCTCGCTCCCCAGCTCTTTCAAGATGGCCTCCTGCACCCTGAGCGTAGTGGTGGGTGATTTGCCGTCGTCCTGACTCGGAGGGGGGGTTACCCTCTACTGTGTCATCGGAAGGGCTGTCATCCTGATCCCCAATTTCTTCCACGTCATCATCCTTAGTGTCCGTGGCATCTCCGATGGGTCGATTTATTTTGAGGCAATACTTACTTTTGGACTGACCATTACTTTCATCGGGACTAGAAACATCACGCTTCTGAGAACAGAGTTTATCCAAAAACTGGATGCCAAGGATCTGACCGGAAGACATCATTAAGTTAACATCTTCCTTTTTCACAGAAAACTTTGCTGTGTACATGTAGTTCAGTACCTCCTCAAATATATCAGAATGGAGAAAATCTATTTCTATTACAGAAGAACTATCCACCTCAAGCTTCTTTAAAAGCTTTTTAAAGTAGGTGCTGCAGGCTTTGCCTGATGGAAGAACTATCCACCTCAAGCTTCTTTAAAAGCTTTTTAAAGTAGGTGCTGCAGGCTTTGCCTGTAATCAAAGGTTGAGGTAGGATTAGTGTCCATATATGGGGGTTTAAACTCACTGAGACTCAATACCATCTGACAAAAGGCTATGGTTTGCAAACTTTAAAAAGTTGTTCTGAAAGGTATGAATTGGTTCTGAGGCTTTTCACCACTAAATTAAGTTCTTATATTTCTCATCTTTGTTTGATCCTTCCCATCTTGAGAATATACATTGATACTTTTCATTTCTCCCCAACTCATCCAAGTCTAGTTATTTCAGATATCTCCATGACACACTGAAACCTGCTCTCCATAATTGAGGTAGTATCAGTTCATTAATGGCATCTTACTAATATCTCTTCTGCTCCACACTCTCCTTTCTCATAATTCCTATACTCACACTCTACCCATGCAGTGTTAGTGCCTGAGAGAATCTAGTAGAGGAAAGCAGTGGCTTTGGAGCGGATATTTCCTGGGTAAATGCTGCCTGTCTTAGCCAACTAGACTTCATTGCCTTACTCTTCTTATTTGACCCTTGAGAGTTATAAGATTCAGGACACAGACTAAAGGTGTAAAGGATCAGGTGAATTTAACTGAAGAAATTAGAAACTCTTTTCTATTTAGATCTTGTTGGGGATCTTCAGCTCATAAGCCATGGAGGGTTTATTTAACTCAATCACCTTTCACAATAGGCAATGCACATTTTCCTTTTCTGTCTTCAAAAGAAAAAGAGTGTTCATTAAACTAATTTGTCAATATTCACACTGTATACCAGAGAAGTTTGTCAAACTAATACCTGAACATTGGCAATCTTAAAGATGACCTTTTGGTTATTTCCCGATACTCAACATATTTTACCTCAGATACCCTTATAAATCCACTGTGCATGCAACTTCTTACTGGAAATTTTTCTGTCTTTTGCATATTCCATTCTGTTCTCTTTGACTCAGTACATTAGATTTTCACTGGTTTAGATGGTGAATTTTAGTTTCCAGTAAACATTAAGTTTATTAATGGACAAAACCATATTTAATTTCTAACAGCCACCAAGGTTTTGGTTATGTTGAAGTTTGGATATTTTAGATATGTTATTATATGAAATCCTCTTATTCCTCTTTGGTGTATCATCTGTTAAGACACTTAGACTGTGATCTGCGACTTTTTCCTATCCAAGGTCAGTTCCTGAATAGAAGAGCACTGTGTAGCAGGTACTCAGCTAATAACTATATAGAAGCAATCTATGTCTTGTCAAATGAAAACAGAAAAGCTATGAAAGATTTAAAAACCTCTTCAAGGAGACATAATCAACAGAGCCAAGTTTTGAAGTAAAGTGTATGTGACTCTGGAAACTTATTTAGAAGCAAAGAGTTTTGAACTATCATGGATTTAAACCTATATAGTTGCTAGCAATCACCTTCCAAAATATACCTGCACTTGTTTTTATTCCTCTTGATCCTGTTGTGGAGGCAATTAATAGTGAATGAATCACTAGATTTGATTATAATGTTATTTTAGAATTATAACTAAATTTTATTATTGCTTTCTATGTAGAACAGGCCAGGCACTGTTTAAATGTTTGTATGCATTCAGTCAGATTCTTTTTAATCCCAGTTTCCTGGTGTGTGGCTACTGTGATTTGGGTCAATTGTATCTTGCTCATGTTCACCATTTGTGTGGGACAGAGAATTTCAACACAGCACATGCAGTGCCACATCTGCAACAGTCAGTTCAATGAAGATCTCTGAGTATAACAAAAGCATGAAACTGGTAACTATGGAAATTAAATGTGAATACACTCTGGATGCCCCAATATCTTTCCTCCAGATTTCCTTTTCTGTGAAAGTCCCTGTCAAAACCATGGCCCTCTCAGATATCTGGATTTTTTTCCTGGATGGAATTGCTTTGGAACTCATGAGATAGTTTGCAGCTTCTTCTTTTGTTTTCTCTGTGATTTTACTGAAAGGAAGGACATGAAAAAGTCATGAAATGAGATAAGAAAAGATTAACCAAAGATCTGTCTAAAATCATGGAAAGAAAAAAAGGAACTCTCTCAAAGAAAATGAAAATAATAATAATAAAGAGGAATCAATTGGAAATAAAAGATATGAAGAAAATACTTTATCCCAACAACAAAAGCCCCATACACATTTATCTTAAACAACTATGGAACATCTTTAAGAATAGGTTTTGGTCATAAAAATTTAAAATAGAAACATGAAATCATATCAAGCATTTTCTCTGATCACAATGTGTTGAATAGAAATTGATAACAGAAAGGAAAATAGAAAATTCTAGAATATCTGAAAATGTAATACTTCCCCAAATTACATATTTCATTGTTTCAAAAATATTTTAATGGATATGCTAATTTATTTCATATATACTACTAACTGATCTTAGATTGTTGAAAAGAAAGTTTTGTGTTATTATCTCTTTCTTTTCTGTAAGAATCTTTTTGGATTACACTTTGTACTCTTGAGTCCTTGGTGGAAAACTGATTCCATAACTTATCAGAAATATTCCAGATACTGCATTTGGTGTATGCCTCAGGCAACGATATTTAAATAGAAAAAAGACTGGTCTTTGGAATACATTCATTTAACCATATATGTGTATCTATCTATCTATCTATCTATCTATCTATATCCATATATATATAAAACCATATATAGAAACATATATATAGCTATATATATGATATCTATAAGAGCACATATATATGGTTTAACCATATATATATAAAACCACATACATATGGTTTAACCATATAATATACCATAATATATATATATACATATATATACCATAATATATATATATATATATTATTTAACCATATATATGTATGAGTGTGTGGGTGAAAGAAGGAACAATTGATTGATGGATACGTAGGTTTTTGATGCATGATGGAGAGGAATCAGTGAAATGCAGTGAAATGCAAGGAAATGCAATATGATTCCCTGGTGTATTTTAGTAGTTCAGCTCCTTTTTTTTTTGTACCAGCTATCAAACTCAGGACCATGCACCTGCTGGGAAGGCGTGGTGCCACTGAACCAAATCCTAGGCTCAGTGGCCTATTTTAAAGGTTTGTTCAGTGAACCTTTCTTCTTACCAATGGGCTCTTAATTATTTTCTCTGCCTATGAGTTGGGCTAAGTGATGAGTGTATAGCATAGCACCTGTCAAAGGGACTTAGTGACAAAAGAAGTTCTACAAATCTCTTTACTTTTTGATGAAAGGTAACTTGTTAAACCCGGTACATTGCACAGTGGCCCTCATGAGGAAATGAAAACAAAACAAAGCAGGTAAAGTCAGGTACTTACATACTGAATTGGACAAATGATAGTGGATTGTGAATAAGCAACTAAATTCTGAGAGTACACATAAGAGTTATTGTAACCAGGCCTGTGCAGAATTCATTTGGTTTTGACTTCTTTTCCTTGAAGATAAAGGTGGTATTTTTTTCTGTGTAGAGAAGTTATCATTCACCTGGAATTTCCTTTTCTGCCTTTAAGACATTTAGAAATGGGAAGAAAGGAGCTAAAGGTGTACGGAAGGTGTGATGGGTAGGGGAAGAACAAAAAGGGAAAAGAAAAAAATGTGAGAGAATGAAAAGATGAAAATAAAGTGTTTGTAGATGGGGAGGAGAGGAGGGGCTGAAGGGAGGGCAGAGGTAAGGGGAAAAAATGAGAACCAAGAATTGCCATGTAGAGGTACATGATCCCCAAAATGAATGTAACTGTACTGTATCCCTAAAATGTACCACTAAACTCTATAATATTAAAAAAAAAAAGAAATAGCATGAAGGGCAGAATGACTTTTCATATTTGCTAATTTTCTAATGACCTTAATGTGGTAGTTCATATGTCACAGAGACATATTTTAAAACTAATTCTTATAGATACTTGTTATTACACAGTCCCCTAACACCACTCCAAGTGACAGGAAAGTTTACTTATTACCTTCAGAGCTCCCAATTGCTTCTTAATCCAGTAGTTCATGTTGTGCTGACGGGTGGGGGGTGGGGCTCTTATTCAACCAGAGCAGGAGTGATCCCTAGGAATGGGTCATGCCTTCACCTGGGCAGCAGGCTATCAGACACCATGCTGCTGTGCTGTCCCTCCACACCTGTGGTCACGAACCAGCTTGCAATTTTCTCAGCAACTGTCACAATACACCCATGGCTGTCCCTTGTGCTGCAACTCCTGGGGCTTATTTGTACTTCCCCAAGAGGTTCAGGGAGAAACATCTCCACCCCATTCTGTCTCAACTGGAAGTCTCTCCTTTACATAATTGTATCAAAAAAAGCAACAATATACAAAAAGTTTCTTTTCTTTCTCATTTCAGCATGGAAAACAGCGTTTCAAATGGAAATGATTCGGTTGGCCATCTGCACCCACTGAATGCAAGAAGGAATCCGAAATGAAGATAACAGGACAGACATTGTGGAGGTTGAGTACTAGCTGGTTTCATTCAGTCCTGTCTCAGTCCTAAAGCTCAAGACACAGTTCTGTCTATTCGAAGCTTCTTTTTGTTCTTCTCCTAGATGAGTAGTCTGGACTTAAGGAACTTTGACTTCCTTCCAACTTTCGTCGCTATAAACTGAAATCCATTTATCTTACAGATAACTAAGTGTGGAAAATCAACTAGGTTTTCCTAGCATCCCCCAGATGTTGCTTTCAGCAGTGAGGCAATGAGGTTGGGGAGGACAAGGTACAAAGATCAATTTTAGCATATGTATTTTCATCAGAAACACAATGTAATCATTTGTTTATTAATAATTTGTTATTCATTGGTGCTAGTAGTATCCTGTTACTTAAAAAACCAAAGCCAAAATGAGCAGCCTGTACATTCTCTCCATAATAGACATATAAAATGTGAATAGGTAACTTGAGAGGTCAAGACATAGAATGTTTGGTCTCAATGTGAGAGGAATCAGCACTGAATCCCAGTGAATCTGCCCAGGAGACCTGGGACCATTGTATAAACACAATGATCTCCAAAGCCTTGGGAATCTCTCTCCTGTTTGGCCTCTATGGGCAAATACCAGTTATTCTGGAAGCTTTTGTTCTTTAATATGTTGAACAAATATAAATCACAAGGGCGGGCACCTTGTCTCTGTTCATTGTGCTGTGTAATTGGGTGAAGAAATTCTAGTTTGTCTCTTCCCTGTAGAGCAACATGTTGGACAGCAGATCAGTCTTCTGAGTTTGCACCTTTGACCCTGGCAAATCTCTGGATTCAACACTTTTCAGACTCTTGCTGGGTTAACAGCACAGTATCTCATTTCCTAAAGGATCTGGACCTGAACAGTAGGCTCTGATAAGCCTGTAACGGGAACACCATACCCTTTGTTGTAGCATCAGAGACTCTTGACACAAAAAATAGCTTTTGAACCAAATTGAGTGGCAAGCATAAATTTAATAGCAAAATATCCTTAAAGAGAGAAAAGCATAAGCCAATTCAACGTCGTGGGAGAAATGAACCACAGCCTCAGTCTTTGGGAGGTATTCTGAGCAGAGGCACCTGCATGGAGGCAGCTTCATACCTCAGGAAACAAGCGATGCTAGGACTGGCAAGTGTGTCAGAAAACCACTGGCTCCAACTGCCTGGATTTCCACTGAAGAAAATGAGGCTGTAAGTGTTTCCCAGGACTGCCCAGGAAATGGGTCTAGTGGTCTGACTTCAATCAGAGCAAACTGAGGGATAGAGTCTCAGCCTCCAGAACCCTGTTGGACCCTGTGGTCTAACTTTCCTCTTCTCTTTCTCTGAAACACTCAAACTCTTCCTCTGTGGATACCTCTGCCTGCCTGTACAACCACACCTCTTTCGCCCCTTCATTTGAACCCCTTTCTCTGTAGCTAGCACTTCATTTTCAGTATCCTATAGAATCTTTTAGTGTCCTCATCCTCATTAAATCGGGTTCTCTAATTTGAATCTTTTTCTTTTCCTTTTCATATGTTGGTGTATTAAATATTCTAAATATATCTCTCCTAAAAGAAGTGTTCATTAATTAAATTGCTGAGTGATGCTGTGTCATTTACTCTCTGATTTAAATACCAGCCCCAAAGGAGATAATCTTTCTCCCTTATCCAGACTCTCACTCTCACTTCTTTCCTTTTTTCCCCCTTGGTCCCTCTCTTATTTCTTTCTCCCTCTCTCCCTCCCTACACCTCTCTTCCTCCTGAGTTCCCTACCTCCCTCATACACCCTCTTCATTTTCCATTCTTTCTGGTTTCTCTTCTTCCTTCCTTCCTTCCTTCCTTCCTTCCTTCCTTCCTTCCTTCCGTCCTCTTCTCTCCTCTTCCTTTCTTTCTTCTTTTCCCTCCTGTGCACTTAAGATTCTATTTAGTACAAAAATCTCAGGTAAGAGAAATGCATAACGCTTCCTGGTACTGCTCTCAGCTTTACTCAGTACACAGTCGGGACAGAAAAACAAAAATGCAGATGTTTCTCCCCAGGTGAGCCTTTCTTTGAGAAGCTAAATTTTGCTACATCATCCCACTGACAGAGACACGGGAATGCAGTCTGCACTGGAGCATAAAAACAGAGGCACGGTACAGAGTAGGCTGGGATCACTGGAGGAATTTGAGAGATTGAAAACTCAGGAAGAAATAGGCCTTAGCAAGTTGAAATCGGATGTTCTAAAGCCAGAGGTCTAGGCCCATCTGGGGAGAGGATTCATGGGTTCCATAGGAAAATCAGAGCTGCCTAATTTTTACACCATGGGCTTTCACTTTACTGCAGAGCCATTTTTCCACTGTGCTAGCTAAAATATCAGTACAATGATAGCTCACTGAGGGCCTACATCTCCAGGCCACAAAATATAGGCATTGTAGGAGGCAAGAGGTATTTCTTTAGACAAGTTCCATCTGGAACAGTAGCAAAGGAGGATTTTCAGAACCTGCCTATTGCAAGGTTAGTGAGGCTCAGCACAGCCCAGACAATGAATTCCCACATTGTCTTCCAGAAAAGATTCCCATGGCAGAGGCTTTGTTGCATTCCCTGCTGTATGCATCATGATAGAATAATAGACAACTAAGACTTTAGATGTGTTCTAATGAGGAGGAATTAGAAAGGAAGCCAGGGATCCACCACATATGACTCTACTTTTGTTGTAGATAGTTAGGTTTGTCATCTCAACACACTGCTCCTCAGATTGAGGTCAGCTAAACCTTGAGTTCTCTCAGAAAATTCCAAGTTGAAGAACTTTGTACGTAGTTGTCTGGACTGCTGTATCTACCTTCATGCCTATAGCTGAGCTTCTGGTAGAATGGATAAAACACATGTAGCATGATTACCAAGGTGTGTTGATTTCTGAATTAATTACATTTTGCACTTGCATGGAGCATTTAGTGAGAAGAAGAAACGTGAGGGAGGGGAACCAAATGAAAACTTCTTTTCTTGTTCATCTTTTAATTTACTTTATGTTTTATTTACCTGCTGCCATGTCCTGGAGTGGACAAGTACCCCCAAAGTTCTTGTGTTAAGAGTTTTATCCAAGCCTGTAGTGCTTTGGAGAGCTGGTGGAGCTGTTAAGAGATGCTATTCCTATGGAAGTCTACCAGCCACAGCAGCCTGCCCTTGCAGAGCATATTGAAACCCAGGTGCTGCTTTCTTCTCCCTTTGTTTCCTGGCCACGACAAAGGGAGCAGAGTGTTCCACCTGGTGCTAGGGGAAATGGAAGTATTAATTATACCCAAAGAGTGAACCCCACAGTATATGAGTTTCCTTTTTAATTAACTGTGTTTCTTTTATGTAGCATATTGTTGAATCTTGGTTCTTAACCCATTCTGCCAGTCTGTTCCTTTTGATTAGTGAATGGGGACCATTAACATCGATGGTTGAACCGGGGATTTAGCTCCATGGTTCTGCTACCTGCCTCAAAAGCTCAAGGACCCATGTTTGATCCCTGGTTAAAAAAAAAAAGTTAAAGGAATTGATGGTTGTAATTGATATGTAGTGATATCCCTATCATGACATTTTCCAGTTGTTGGATTCTCTGCCTTGCATTTAATTCCTTGTCTTGTCTGATAGATTCATTCTGATGGGCTTTGTGAGGTTGAAACCCTGATTGTCTTTTGCTAGGATACTGTTTAAAACTTTTTGAGGGCTGGTTTCATATTCATGAAGTTCCTCAGGACTTCTTTGTCATGAAAGTATCTTATTTCTTCATCAATTTTGAAAGATAGTTTTGGAGGGTACATCAATCTGTTTGGGAGGTTGTTTTCTTTTAAAGAATCATACCACAGTAAAATATGGCCACCCATGTGCATAGCAGCATAGTTGGTAATAGCTAAAATTTAGAAGCAGCCCAATTGCCTATCAACTGGAGACTGGTTAAAGAAAATGTGTGTTTTTGTATTTGTTGGTTTTTTTTTTGTATAATGTAGTAGTATTGAAAAATAACTAATGTGTAAATAGACATATTTATCACCAAATGGATGCACACTGAGACCAAACTCAAGTGAAACAAATAGGATACACATATGAAATACCAAATAGTTTCTCTGGTGTGAGAAACTGAAAGTGTAAATAAGAATAAAAATGCATAATAGATAATGTGAAACAGGAAGAAAATGTCCAAAGTGGAAGGGGAAGGGGAAGTGGCAGGAGTAGGGGAAAGGAAAGAAGGGAAAGGAATAAATACGAGAAAAGGAAAAAATGGAAACAAAATCTTTGTAAATAGGGAGGGGTGGAGGCACTGAAAGGAGGGCAGGAAAATGAGGGAAAAAAAAAAGAAAAAAAA